CGGCTAAGTACGAGTACGAGAACGTACGGTACCTCAACTACAAACTCGTAGCGGTGTGGTCGAAGAAATAAAACCAGATACAGTACCGTAGAAAGGAAAACCGGTCACGGGTTTTACAATAGAGGACTCAGGTACTCTACGAGCACGGTCGGCTAGTACCAGGTACTTCATCCATTAGCTTCACGGTACGACTATCCTTCGGTACGGTACGTACTGTAAATACCTTTTGAAATTACAGTACTATTGAACACACTTTTTCGCACGCARCGAGACTGGAGCAAGTACCAGTACGTACGGTACTACAGTAGTACTAGCACTAACTTMGAGGACGAAAACCGAATACCAACTTATTGACGCACTGCCGGGACGAACAATTAACAATTTATGTAAGTTTCTACTATTGTGCCTGTGGCATCCTGCTTTACGGTTCCTCGTACTCGTACCCGCAACAAAACAAAGCAACCCGCTCACCAACATCGCATTCCGGTACGGTACAATTGTGGTGTTGTTTCACGATAAGAGCCTGAGAGGAATCAGCTTGACCATACAACAAACAAGAACAAGAATAGAAACTAGAGTGATCAGTAGGTATGTTCCTGCGATTAATTCAATCATTGCGATCAACGTCATACCTGTTGCCCACAGAAAGGCATCGCATTGTTCGATTTGATTGCCAAGCAATCCATGAACCATTGCTGCAAATAGAACGAACCGTCTCGCCGAGATCGAATACATACTCTTGGACCAAACATCCCAATGCAGTCATACTGCGATGCAAAAGGCACAATTCAACTCTTTGTACTCGTATTCTCACATATTTTTACAATTCCGTGTTGCTTGTTTGTCATGTGTTTTTCTTTTTCACCTGCCTTTCTGCCCGATTACGTTGAAACAAAATAAGCAGGAGGTACTATTATCCTAGCCTTTATCTTGTGTTTACTGCGATTTAATTTATTCCATTCCTAGGACGGTGCTGGGTAGAATAGTTTGTGATCCATCAATCCTGCGGAGAATTTTAAAATGACGAGCACCCACCGCGGTTATCACTCTGCTGATGGGGGAGGCGATAGCGATGGCAATGACGACAACTACAACCAAAATGGAGGACACGGCCGAGTACGTAGTAGCAGTTGGACATATGATGAGGACCATGACATTCGACAGTACTCACTGGAAAACCAGTTGTTGCCGATCAATGAACACGAAAACGAGCGTTGTTTCGAGAGCGACTATCGAGATTCTGAGTACGCCTACGAATCAAACGAACATGGAGCCGAACCTTGCAACAGCGACCCACAGTTGGATGATRCACGCGGAGATGGCGACGACGATTCCTTTCGGAGGCGGAGACGACGACGACAAAGGAGCGGGACAGTTTTGGGAAAAGGGTGGGATCTTCCTTCGGTTTCCATAATGAGAAGGAGGAGAAGGTTCCGGAATCGTGTCAAAACGGAAACTGCGATGCACAAGCGAATCGTTGTGGGGAAGGACATTAGGATCTACGACGACGAGAACGACACCAATGCCCTTACGGATGGCAACGACAATATTAGAAGCAAACACATCATCAATAACACGAACACTAGGATAAAGAAACACGCCCGAACAACGGTGGTACCCAACACAATATCAGAGATGCAGCAACCAAATATTGTAGAGTTGCTGCGGGACCGAGAAGTTTTTGGAGGCGGAAATAACCGCCGTGGTGGTATACGTAGCACTCTTCGCAGAAGGCCTACGACTGCTGCTGCTATTACAAAACGCGGTAGCTCTGGTCAGAAACCCCGAGGAAGCTATTCTTCTGGATTCATCACCCGGAGCAGCATCTCAACACTGGATCCSGGGTCTGAAGACGACGACGATGAAATGGAGTATTACTCGGGGGAGGAAAAGGACGCAAGTGGCAGCAGTAAAAACAAGCGGAGGAGACACAAGAGAAGGAAACCAAAGTCGCCCACTACCGTTACGGCTACAGATGCTTCCGCTACGAATGGGGCCCTGGGTTCCTCCCCACACAACAATTTTTATTCAAAGAGCAACAGGAGTGGCGACCGAAACATCAACTGCCATCGTTCCACCACCGATCAGCTGCGGACATATGCAGAGGAGGTTTGCGTCACTAAGTTTGAGGGGAGCTACCTAGGCCACCTGATGCACAAGAAACCAGAAGATAACGACATAGATAGAGAAGACAATGTTGAAAACGACGACGACGAAGAAGAGCCACAACAAACCAGCAAAGCCGTCTCCACGATTTCGATTGCCTTTTCGCCCGATGGAAAGACCATGGCTTCTACACACGGAGACCACACGGTTAAGATCACCTGCTGTCTAACGGGCAACCTGTTACAGACACTGGTTGGACATCCTCGGACGCCCTGGACAGTTAAGTACCACCCTCACGCCGGGGAAGATGATGGGATGTCAAACACTCCCTACACTATCATTGCCGACAGCAACAGCGGGAGTTCTTCGTCTTCTGCGGCCAATGCTCCAAGTGGTAACGGATCTGACGGAGCGAATTCTTTACAACAGCAGCCGCTGCACAATGATTCAAAAAACTCGTTGCCAAAAAGGCAGCAAATCCTCGCCTCGGGGTGTCTAGGCCACCAGGTTCGGATATGGGACTGGATCACAGGGACTTGCCTGCAGATGATACGCTTGGAATATGCGATTATCAGCCTGAGCTTCCATCCGTCTGGGAACCTGCTGGCGATTGCAAACGGCATGAGGCTGCATTTTTGGGGCTTGCCRACAGTGACAGTGAACAACGAGGAATCTGGCGATGAAAACGGGAACGATAGTGATAACGATAACGATACCAGCACCGCAGCTGGTACCAGGGAAAGTGGAGACCACATCGGAAGCCGGAATAGCAGCCGGAGGGGTACGAGCACCTCGATGGAGATGAGGCACATGCTCCGGTGCGTGCACTTTTTGCCCGATGGGAAAAAGGTCATCGTAGGTGGTGTAAACCCCCAGTCGAGGACRGAGCTCCAGAATCAGCGCCTGGCTGCGGAGGAACGAAATAGAACCTTCACGCCTACCATGTCCTTTTACCTTCGGCTTTGGGACTTTGACAAGAGGGCCGCCATGGGGCTGCCGCCGATCGAGGCAACTGAACCACTGCCCCACGGGGTAAACATCGAAAATGCAGGAATCACACCAAGCCATAACTACGTCGATTCGACTTTTCGCAACAACCACGGCAATAGAAACAATGGCAGCGGCAGCCGATCCAATCCCCACCAACCACCCTCGATACTTTCCAACGCAAGTGCCGAAAACATGACCAGATTGGCGACACGACGCCGGAGGCCGATCAGCAATGTAAGTTCCTTGTGCCTTTTTGTTTCTACATTTTCATTATTTTCTTGCTGGGCGCACAACAAATCCGCGCTGGCTTTGTACCAGAAACCTGTTGAATTTTATGCTTTTTGAAGAAAATAACTTGAGTGATAACAGTCAACGGAGAGAAGAGCAATGTAAAGTCTTGAGCTATGTACTCACTTTGCTGATTATCTCCGATTCAATCCCTCGCGATCTGATCGCGCCTCATCAAATCCGATGCAGGGTCGACCCTTTGTCCCCAAAGCACTCTTGTACAACGACGGAGGGTTTGACGTATCCCCTGACGGAAAGACACTTTGCGCTTGTGCGGAGTATTGGTTGCCAGAGGGTGTTGACAATGCAACGGACCTGCTGCATCCGCCACAAAACGATTATGACACCGATGACGACAGTGACTATTACAGTGAGAGCAGCAGCGAAGACGAAATTGACAGAGTTCGGAGCAGTAACGACAACATCAATGTGGAAATGAACGATGGAAGTGGTGATGCTGTAAATGGTAACATAAAGCCTCAAGTGGATACCTCCGTTAACAACGAAGAAAAGCCTGCTGCCGTTGCAATCGAGGTGGATGACTCCGTCAGCAAGGAAGAAAAACCTACTGCCGCTGCGATCGAGAGGGATGGCTCTGTTGACAAGGAAGAAAAGCATGCTGCCGTTGCAATCGAGGGTGATGACTCCGTCAATAAGGAAGAAAAGCATGCTGCTGTTGCGATCGATCGCCCCATTACTTATGCAAGCGTTGTGGCTGGTACAGTGGAAACTAGAGACGCCAATGCCACTAAAGATGATGCTGCCGAGGATTCGAAAGATGAAAACGCGGAAGCTTCCACCGAAGCTCACACGTCGCCAACGCGTCCCCCGTCTTCTTCCTCATCAATTCCTTCGGAGACTCCSCCCCGCCTTGCGGTCCGACAGCGAGTGCAAATTTCGAGCCCCCCTCCCAGCATTGGTACCACCACGGGAACGATGTTGAGTGCGCCATTGGCCGGTGCCTTGCCTACAACTCCGGTCCAAGCGGGGTTGACACCACAAACTCCCCCACCCAACGTGAATCCGCTCAACTTTCCGCTAAGTCCCCCCTCTCCTCCAGGACGGAGATTTCCTGGTGGGTTAGGAAGCACTAGTGTTAGAAATGCGCAATCATCACTGCAACAGGATCAGACGCGGCAGCAGAATTTGTGGCAAAATCGATCTGCTCAGCAGTCACAGCACCAGCCATACCCGACTCCTCCCCAGCCACAACGAACAGCACCATCATCGAGCACAATTGGTGGTAGCTCGGAGAATACCGAGGCCACGATACCAGCTCCTCCTGGAATCACTCATCGAAACGATCGCCAACATCGGCTTCGTACGCAGCAAACCAATGGTGGTGTCCCGAGAATCTATGGAAATCCCTTTGCAACTTCTTCCCGCAATTCTCGCGGTGGCATCCCAAAGCAAAAGGGGAGATACGTTCCACATATCGTTACTATTAGCCTGGATACAGAACCCTATGTAGAAACTTTGCAGGTTGTTAATGGATCGGTTGGTGGTAATTCGGTAGAAATACACGCTGGCAGCGGGATCCGTTCAGCGGCCGGTGCCGCCACCAACGTCACCAAGACATCCTACGTTGTCCCCGGAAAGATCAGTGGTGCTTTCGTCGCCACCCGTCCCCACGCACGGGACCGTCGCCCCAGGCTTGGACAATTGCTGTCGGCTTGCCCATTGGATCGGTCCAAAGCATCGGCCGTTACCTGCGTAAAGTTCTCTCCCTGTACCGAATTTTGTTTGATCGGTTACGGTGTGAGAGAACCACACGTTGAAAGAGCGGTAGACATCGACGATCCGGATACATATTTTCACCCCGTTACCGCCATGTATAAAGTTAACATTGGGGGAAGAATGCGCCACATTTCGACTATGCTGAGCGACGATGACGACGTAAACATTGCGAGATTCCACCCCGAATCGGGKTACGGGTTTGTTTATGGCACCAAGCAGGGGCGGATTCGCATTCTCGGTCCCAGGCCCTGGAATTACTACAACAGTTAATATAATMATATGAGGACATAATAGTAGTGGTAAAAAAATTGTCAACTCCGTCTCTAGTAAACGATGTTTTCTCTGTKAACATCACTCGTATAAAACGATGTTAGTAACAGGGAAAGACAAGAGGTAAGCACTTAGTGATTCCCCCCATCGATCAGAGCGACTACTTTCATGTCTTMAATGCAGCTTTTGGACACAGCAAAGCCGGGTTTGGTAGGCATTGGTATCCGCAACATTCACAAACGTGTTACGTTGTGATCGACACACATCTTGATGCTGTCACTCTCCCATATTTTTTCCGACTGAGCTTCCCAAAAAAAGTAAATTAAGATCTTCATGAACTTCATCAGGAAAAAAAGAGGCTCGAGGTTGATGCCTCCCAGTCCCAATGTTTCAAGGTAGTACAACTATATTGTGCTATTGCCACTTTTTCTAGTACTGTAATCATCATTTTGAATTTCTACTTTTGATAGTGGCCAGGAGAAGGCTTGGAGGAGTGTATAAGAATTGTACAAGGAAACTAAAATCATTTTAGCAATTGTCCTAGGTAAGGAGAGATAGATGATCAAGATATGTCTCAAATTGAATATCAYTGTTTTCTGTATTTTTTGAAAGAAAAAGCAATCACAGAACAGCAATGTCCAAGAAACAAGCTCAGACAGTCATTGTTCTTGTCTTTACTAGTAGCTACTGCTTTCAAAAAATCAATTGAAAAGAAGTGATCATTTATTTGTTGTATTCACCATTTATATTTATCTTATTTCTAATTTTCTCATCCCTACTACTACCACCACCACTAGAAGAAGAAGAATTGTAGCTGAAACTTCACAAGTTCCAAGAACTAACTTCTTGTTCTTGTTGCTCTGTTGAAAAATCAACACGAAACTGCTTGTACTACTACAAGTAACCAAKTACCAAAAACAAGCTGGCATATCAAGTGTACTGTTGCTGAGAACTAGTGGTAGTAATTTAAGCAACATACATGTACTAAACAGACATCATGACCTGGTGTACAAAATAATGCATTCTTCTTGTCAGCACATTAGTTAGTACAACAATACTAGTAGGTGCGAGTACCAGTGATCAAATAGTACAAAAATGATAAAGTGTATCATGCTAGAAATTGTTACTATGATACATGTACTAAAGTGAAGAAGATTACTACTACTACTTGTACTAGCAATTGTCAAAAACTAGAACTTTTGTGCAGATCTTTTTCTACACTTGTTGAACAGTACTAATAGTA